AGCAGAGGAGAGGTTTATACTGTATTTTTCTACCTTGGAAGGCTAAATATGATAACAAATGAAGATAAAAAGCAATCATTGCTTTGGGGTCTGTCAAGAGGGAAGGAAGAGGGTCTGAAGGAATAATTGGCGTATTAGCCTAACCATAGTGTATCTGTGTCTCTCCCTCCCAGGAGTGATTCTGTACATATTACTAGTGGGGTACCCTCCCTTTTGGGATGAAGATCAGCACAAACTCTATCAGCAGATCAAAGCCGGAGCCTATGACGTAAGGGCACTTTCTTGCTGAGTACCTGCATGGGTGTAGAAGCCATCCAAAACATGGCACTATCTTACTTGGTGTCCAGCAGCAGGCCCCAAACTACTGTGCAAAGTGATGTTTGGCATGTTCATACACCTTGTTGTCTTCACTGCCTGGGATACAGTCCTGTTTGGGGCTACTGAAATGATACGTGGAAAGCATCGCAGTGGGCACCAAGACATTACTGGTCATTAGGAAATGCAGAGCTGGAAATGCAGATGGTGGGAAACTGTGTCTTCTAGTGTATTCACAGCAAAGTGCTGCAGATGTAGCCAATGCTAACTCTTTTAAAGGAACAGAGTTAAGGTAGGATGAAGGAGCCTGTCTTTATCAAGGTCTAGTTAAAAGTATGGGGGAGTGTTCTGTAGAATAATAGCTTAACTTATGGCCTCTGGTCTCCTTGGTGCCATAGTGGAAATTCTTCCAGCAGTGGAAAGCATGGAGCCCATTGAGAAGACTGAATAGCAGGGACCTTTGGAGGGGTGGCTTTGGGATAGGGATCAGCATGGCGGGTTGGAGGCTCTTGTAGAAAGCCAAGCAGTTCATAAACAGTTCTCAGAACATGGCAAAACTGAGGTGTAAAAAGGTGGCTGAAGGAGAGGAATGGCTAGGAGGTTAGTACTGGGGAGCAAATGTGGTGAAAAATGTGGTTTGGGTACCACAGCTTGAATGTTTGACATAAATTCTTCCATGTATGGAGAGGCTCAGGAGGGAAGAAGGAACTCATGGAAGTCCTGGCTCAAAGCCTGTGGGCATGAATATCAAGAAGTTGGGGAGTTCATTTTGTAGGCTGTCTTGTGTTTTGTATTAAAAAAAAAAGAAAAAGGAAAAATAAGTGAGGGTTCTGCTGGACCCCAGCTACCTCCCAGCTTCTGTGCATAAGACCATGAGAGTGGCCGTGCTGGTGAGAGCAAAGGTCTGCCTAACCCCATGGCCTGGCTCAGTGGCTTCCTGAGTGAAAGTGATGTCTTTGTACTTGATAGCCTTAAATGGACTTCTGTTCTTCTCTTACCTTCCTGCTCCTCTTGTTTCTGTGTTGCTGGTTCTCATTTGAAGTGTTTTTGCACTAATTATATTGATGGGGATTTTCAAAGCACTTCGGGAGTTAAATGTCTAAGTCTTTCTGTAAGTCACAAGGAGTGAATGCCTGATGCCTCCTATCTACCTGCTGGTTTTGAAGTCTTACCTATTACGAACACGTTCCAGTAGATTCCTCCCCTGTTTTGCTTGGTAGAAAACTGCTCAAGTTTTTCTGGCATACCTGCCCCTGGTGTCCTTACCCCAGCACCAAGTATGCACTGAGCTGGTCTGTTGTTATCTCTTGACCAGAGATGAAGTGGCGTGTGAACTGGACTTTGTGCTGTTGGGTAAGGGTTTTGCAAGGCATTACCATGAATACTTCAGAGTTCGGGTGGGGGGAAAGTGTCCTGGCTGAAAGCTCAGTATCAAAATTTTTGAGTAGCCTCTTGCAATGTTTGCAGAACAAATTGTGTAAACCCTTGCTGATGCTTGAGAATGCAGAAATAAGATTATGTGCAAATCAAATATGGTGCATGTATTTTTATGACCCAACTGAGCAAAGCACAAAATGCAGGAGAAAAGAGATGCGATAAACTTTTTCTAAATGTAGTACTGTAAAGAAATGTTTTCAGGATAGATCAATCTTCCCCTCGCTTAAAGACAGGGGACTTTATCTCAACAGCACATTCATCTTTGTGTTTTCAAGTTCACCTGTACATACAGTAGATTCACAGGAGTGAGATGTACTGCATTTAATCTCAACATGCTGACATCTAGACCACACTCAAGCATCTGGAGGATGGCGTAAATATCTCATCTTTATCATTACTGGAATTATAGAAGAGAGAAGTTACCCCTCATGGATGATAAGCAACTGAAATACTTGAGATTCTTTTCTTTGTTTCCATGCTTCTGTATTCCCATCCACTACTACATCTCTCTTGCTCCCCAAGTAATGATTTCTGGTATGGTAGATGCTTGCTAACAACTTGCTGGTGGGTCGCTACACGTAAGTGACTGGTATTGTTCCAGGATGTTGTGCTTTATGGCGGGGAAAGTATACCTGATGGGATGTTCTCTGTTAGCGGTTTTTGCTTTCACGAGATTTTGCTGAAGTTAAGTGTTTGTGATTGTGCATATGCTGTTAGAGCTTTTTAGCATGCTGGAGAAAGAGCAAGGTGGGGTAAAAAAGATAGTGCTTGTGTTTTTCATGTCGGAACTCAGTTAAAAAGATCCGTGACTCTACTTTTTTGCCTGTTGAGTGTGAAAGAAATTCAAAGGTCTGAGTGGTTCCTAAAAGGCTTTTAAACTGTTAATATTCCTGCCTGTGTCTTCTGAATGGTACAGATGTGTCCTGCTGTCTGGTACCATTCATTTGCTGGATTCTGTACAATTTTTGTTCAGCGTGGATTTTCACAAAAATTGATGTTTTTTGCAAATATGTTAGCCCTGGTATCAAAAGGGCAAAAGCTGGAATTCAGCTGTGTAGAAGGGAGAATCTCTTCTGCTAGTAGAAGATATTTCCAGTTCATCATCTATTCCTTCTTCCTCTTTCAGTTCCCATCTCCTGAGTGGGACACTGTGACTCCTGAGGCAAAGAATTTGATCAACCAGATGCTGACGATAAACCCAGCAAAACGCATCACAGCTGACCAGGCTCTCAAACATCCATGGGTCTGCGTAAGTGTTTTCCTCTATTACAGGTTGATTTGTCATTTACCCTGAACTGACATGTCAAGAAGACTTAGCTGCAAAGCTGCCCAGAATATTTTAAATATTTCAAAATGTGACTTTTTTGGAGGCTGACCTTCAACGAGCCAACTTTGTCATGCTGCAGTGCTTTTATTGCCACTATAGGGAAAAAAAAATCCCTTATTCTCTTAGAAGTTTTGTGAATGTCCATAGTTACTGGTTTTCCCCACATCTCCTCTTACAATCCATATCCTAAAATGTCAGATGGAGTTTGGCATCAGACAGAATATTTTAGGATTATTCTGTTCTTCATCTCTACTCCAGTATTGCATTTCATCTTTGCCGTGTTGGAACATTTCTGCTCTGCTGCAGCTTAACTGGCTGTAAACCTGAAATCAGTGAAAAATCTTTTGCCGTTCTGTGTATGTAGTTTCTGCCTTGCCAGACCCCACACATGAGTATTTTTCATCTTTTGCAAAGTTGGCAAGGAAAGCCCAGAATGCAGCTGGGAGTGGGCGTAGGAGAGGGCAGCAATAGTGCACTTTTATCTCTGCAGGATGAAATAGTTCCACCCTAAGTCTGACCAGATGCTCCTGTAATACCATAGCATACTTCTGCTTTCTAGGATGTGTCAAGTGTGTTCCTTCACTCATCTTTTTCTTCAGAAACTGTGGTGGTTTTTTCCTTCTGCCACAAAACAACACATTAGCAATTTAAACTTACTTATGTGAACATCTGTGTAACAGGAGTGTAGTGTCTGCTGTAAAGTGATGCAAGTTCCTTGAGTCAGAACTTCACACTAGCTCAGACTTTGCATCTCAGTTTTTTTCTCCTTGCGCGCTTGTCATCAATAGCAGTTCCTGTATATTTAACTTTTGTCCCAATGCCTGTAACCAAAGCTGTATGTGTTACGATAGCTTGCTCCCTGTGGCAACACAATATAGAACGGTTCAAGAGAGACTTTCCTTCTCTGAGTTATGGGGAGTTTGATTTCACTTCACAGCCCTTTCAGCCTCTCACCCAAACTGCCTCCTGTTGAGTCTGTTGTTTCCATTTGCGCTGCGGTCTCTGTGTGTGCAACATATGTTTTCTTTCTTGAGAGGTATTGCTCCTCTGAAGTAAATGTGGTAGGATATCTTACCAATTTGAGACACTGAGGTTCTTAGCTTCACTGAACTTCTGAAGTGTGTGTCCTGACTCTTTTAAGCCCACATTGAACAACTGGACATCACTGTCACTCCTAAGGAGGCTGAATGAACAGTGACCATCAAAGTTGTTAAAGAGGACAGTTTAGCTACATTCTCCCTCCACACTGCTGTGTGTACTGCAGCAGGTGACTAGCCTTGCTGGCAGGATCAAAGCAGAGACTTCCCGTGAAACTGGCTGAATATGAGCATGGTTTACAGTTCTTCTGGGTATTGCAGAATTTTTTCCAAGCAGGAGAAAGGTAATGGAGGGTTTGTACACACTGATCTGCCAAGTTAGTCATTCACCCACTGTCCTTGTAAAGGGAGTTCAGGCTTGTGGCTCGATGCAAAAGCAGCAGCTACTTTGGCACTAGTCTCTGGTTTCCTCATGTGTTTTAAATGCCCGGCAGCATCAGTCTCGGGTTTCCTCATGTGCTCTCAGTGACTGGCAACACTGCTGGGAAGTTCTCTCTTTGCAGCTGATGGGTCCCAGCCTACTGTGGGTGATGAGTGTGCACCACTGGCTAGAGGTTATGCTCAGGTTTTTGCATTGATATGATAGAGCTGTCTTTCCTTTTACACACCGAAAATCTATGTCTGCAAAACTGATGCAAAGATACCAAGGCCTCTGCTAGTCAAGTACTTGCATTCAGGGAGTGGCCATGTCCAGGAAGGCTATCGCTCACTAGTATTCACTTACTGCTTGTAATTTTCCCTTAGAGCTGTAACTAATATAACATAGAGCTTCTCTGTAGTGCCTTTAATTCAGTCCCCTGTGGGTATGCTTGTTCATGTTACTTTGTCTTCTTCCTGTCTTGATCCATTTGTGTGCCTGTGAGACAGGGAACATTAATTCTCACCTGTACCTCGGTCACAGGGTTTCTTGGGCATAGTCCTGTAGCAGCCAGTCTTGACTTAACATGTGCTGCTGTATTGGGAAGTTCTTAAGTCATGAACCAGTTGCAGTGTTATGCAGTGGTATAGGGCTTGGCAGTGTCAGCTTGCACGTTATGGTTGTGTGGAAGTGAAGGGAATGGCCATGGCTGATTTGGTTTAGGGTACGTTACTGGTCTTTTGGGCTTCCTGTTTTTCAGCAACGATCCACTGTTGCTTCAATGATGCACAGGCAGGAGACTGTGGAGTGCTTGAGAAAGTTCAATGCTAGAAGGAAGCTAAAGGTAAGTATATGTTAGTTTACCTTAAGTTAGTTTTTAATCCTCTGAATTTGAGGTTAATGCCTTCCTAGCAACAACATTTCTTTGTACGATTAGCTCACTAATGTTAGTCAAGTATCTTATATGGGTCCAGCACAGCAGACTAAGGAAGTGCATTGAGGAGCCGGGCAGTTTCTGTCTCTGAAGCTGCAAGTTTCCCATGTTGCTTCTGCTAGATAGTCCTCCCTTCTGCTTCCTGCAAGAGAGTTGAAACAGAGCAATAGTTCTTAAATTCTGGGGCTTTTAGTTCTGATCGCTCTCTGTCTCCCAGTAATAGTGTATGGGTTGCCTGTATCTAGGGCAAAGCCTCTGGCCTGTGCATGCAGCAGCTATTTGAAAGTTAGGAAGCAACTATGTGTCTACACATAACTCCTAGTGCCATTTTAGATTTCCTAGACTAGCCTGCCTGGTCTCTAGCTGCCACTCTAGAAAGGCAGGACTCAGAGCAGTCCCGTGTCAGGCTGTGAGGTCCAACAGCCACACATGGGAATCTTGGATACACTAGGACTTTGCAGGCTGGCATTGGGATACTTCTGCTTTGGCACCTGATGCACTATGTTCTCCACGGGTCAGTCCAGCCCCTTTTGAAGTGAGTGACTCTGGCTGTTACCCCTTCTTTCTCTTCCCCACAGGGTGCAATCCTCACGACAATGCTTGTGTCTCGGAATTTTTCAGGTAAGTTCTCACTGTTCCCATCCCTTCCTTGGTTTTGTTTTGTGTGAGTGACTTAGGGGATATTTTAACCATTTGGGGGTTGAATGGGAGGGAAGGAAACATGCTCACAGTTCGTCATGGTTTAATGGTCGTTGCTTTGTCTTGGCCGGTGACCAGTGTGAAATAGGAAGTGATTTGTTTGGGGAGGAGCACATGGTGCTGTCATCTGGTACAAAACAGAAATCAAGTCAGCTGTCACACAATCCTCTCATAATATTTTGCTATCAGATTATTTTTGGGAAATTCTAGCTGGCATTTGTTAGCTTTCCTGTCTGAAGCCAGGAGTCAGGAACTCTTACTAGGTAGCAGTGATTGCTTTAGACCTGAGGCAGGGACACGGAGCGAGTAATAATATTGGTGAGAGTAGGGACAGGAGCTATTTGGGTATTGTATTACTTTGACTCATCAAAAATGGGTCTGAAGCATATAGCTATTAGTTTTCCTTCTTGGAGTCTCAGAAGTGATTTTCATCCTTTTAAGCTTAATAACTGGTAGTCTGGCTCCCACCCAACTGCATTACGTAGTGCACTTACTGAAAATGCAAATCTCAACATGCAAATCAGTGCTTTTTGGAAGATGACTGTCTTGGCTCAGCACATGTAGGTGATGCAGTCTTATGTGTGTTCATTTCCATTTGGGTGGAAAAACCTCTATTTGCAAGTGCTTTTGGTGTATGGGATTGTTTGCTTTCTTTGTAATTTCTTTTTTTTTCCTCTTTTAAAAAGGTCAATCATTGAATGCTTGGGTCAGATTTTATTGCACCTAACTACAGTTGCTTTCAAGTAAAAATCTGCTGTATGGATTATAAGTGATGATGAATGAAATGGAAGTGTATTAATTTCATATGGCCATTTACGAATGGTGGATACCAATACTTATACTCTGGATGATGTTACAACCAGCTTCTAATAGGAGTGAAAACCTCTGTGAAATTATCATCCCAGCATTCAAAGTGCGCATTCAAGCATACATTCTTTTGTTGAAATTAAGGTAGCATTTTTAACCTCCTGCATGATGATTTAAAAAAAAAAAAAAGAAAATTTAAGTATGTGAAATCAAGCTACGATTAACTCAACAACTTCAGAATGTTTTTTCATTGGTTCTTGCTTTCAGGTGACCCTGTGCCAATATGTCAGGAGTACTTGCAGCTAAGCAATTTCTCTTTAAGGCCAAACTATCAGAAGTGCAGTAAAGAGGCAGAATAATTTTCTGTGTTCACCTGTCCCAGGATTGTGCTATGACAGGGCTTAAAAATTACACATTTTTTTTCTGAGAATGATTCTGAAATAACTGTTTGAGGAGCTGTGGCACAACGGCAGGGCTTCTGCAGGAGCATACAAAACTTAATGCTTTCTTAGGCTTTCTGCTGGTGTGAATGGTCTTTGATCTGTTCATACTGCTAGTTTTTATTTCACTTAATTGATGATTCTGAATAGTCAGGCTTTTAATTTTTTTTAAGCAGCAGCTTTAGATTCATTTTTAGTCTACAAATGTTGTCACTTCTAATGAAGCTGCAGAAGTACTTGGGTAAGAAAATCTCTTGTGGCCCAGATTTTAAGTACATGAAATGCCTGAGAGAAGGGTTCTCCTTAATGGTGTGTGACCTGTACATGCACTTATTCCCTGAGCTAGTATGGAGGAGGAAAAGGCTTGCTCTGCTCATTCTTCTCTGTCTCAAGGGCTGAAGCTGCTGGATCCACTTCAGTTAACAGCTAAAGAAAAGGAAATCCTAGATGGCCCATAGTGAGTACAGAGTTCTCGGTATCGTTGAGTTCTGCTTTGAATATAAGCTGTAATTCCAGGTAATGAGACACTCTGAAAAACTGTCCAGGAAGAAACATTGTGAATTTAGATGCAAAGTGTTTATAGCCTCTGCGCATAGTAGCTATCCCTAATTTTCTGATGTGTTTTGAAAGTGGGAAGATGGGCTACTCTTGTTTTCTTTGCTGTGTGTAATATGAGCTTGACTTTTATTATTAGTTTTTAATTTACTTAAGTTTTTATATTGCTGTAGTTGAAATACATAAATTTGCTGGAAGTGGAAAAATAAGTACTCAAAGTAAAAAGTTCAAGTCCATGTGGGAGCTTTGGGTAGAGCTCAGGCTTTTCCTATCATGACAGGTCACCTAACTGCACTTTAAAAGTTCTGAAATAGTACTT